TGGCTACCTCCCAATGCTGACAATCACTATGAATGAAACCTTCCCAAAAATCCGGATCATTTTACGTTTCTGGGAAACTGCCCACCCACCCCTTCCCTAAACCAACATTAACACTTAGTTCTTACTTAGGGCAAAATATTGGTTTAGGGGAGGGGTAGGCAGGCAGTTTCACAGAAACGTGCAATGACCCAAGAATCCTTACCTTGTTGCACAGGTTCTTTACAGGGGCTGCAACAAATCATTCTGTTTAATTCCAAAGAAAACATAAATAAATAAATTATGCCCGTTTCGATCAGGAGTTCAGGCCGTCTTCTATTGGGGCTGAAAGCTGAGTTCCATTTCAATCATCATACATTAACAATCTCATCAGCAACTCAATTTGATTTATTCCCTGCCCGTGAAGTCAACGCCCAACAGAAAAATGGAGGACGCCTCGTCTGTGCAGCAAAAAGACAAAATGACGAACACAAAATTGTTGCGTGGAGTTTTTTGCCCTATATCTACGCCAATTGATTATCCGAATTTAGTATTCAATGATGTTATTAGCCTGTGCGGGAGCTGCAGAAATTCACTCCAATGGTCTCTAAGGGAAAAGCTTTAACTTACTTGTTGCAATTGATTATCAAAAAAAAAAAAAAAACATACCATACCATAATACTCTTTGTTGGTCTCTCGAAACTTTTGCATAAGCATTGTCTTAAGTTTCCTTTGGGAGTTAAAATGGCCCCAAAACAAACTGAAAACAATGCTTATGAAAATTTGGAGTGGCCAACAAAGAGTATTATGGAATGTTATGGCTTTTTCAGTAGTGGTCAATTCTCTCCTGCGTGAAAAAGTCTCCCCGTACAAGAAAAGAATTTTTACTTGTAGATCGCCCCGTCAAATAAAGACATATTCACTTGGATAGTTAGAGGGGCTTTAAATGCAAAATCCGACAGAAATAAAACTGAAACTTAATTTGCTTTTTGAGTGTTAAGGAACAGAAGAGTACTGTTAAAAAAGTATTTAAAACACCAAAATTGTCCCTGTCGTATTCAAAAAGAGGAGAACGCCAATATAATTTTTTGGAATTTCAGGTTAGATCATATTAGTCACGTTAGTACTAGTGTCATGCTATACTGAGTGGCAGAGGGATGGGGGACGGGAATCATCGTTGTCGATGTCCCAGTTAAAAATAATGCAAATCGTTTTTCGGTTCAAAACTCAGCTTTCTCCATTCCATTCCACGGGTTAGGAGAAGCGACACACACAAGCCGGTAAAAAAAAGTAGTTAGCGTACGATCTGTACTTCCCAAAATATTTTAATAATAACACTGCCGGTAATCACACAGTCTTCAGCCCAATGAACCCCCACTGTATCGGCCGGGTCTTGCTCAAGTGGAGAAGGCCTTAGTTGGACAGTCAACGAGCCGCGAAGTTTGGCTTCGCTCGGAGGTGAATAGCCCTTGATATCTCTAGTTTGAGAAGCCACTTCAGTGCGCACGAAAATACTATCCACTGTTTTTTATATACTACGTGTTTCCTTGGCTTTGCTGACTAAAGAAGGCCACTAAATTGCAGATTTTTCAGGGCGGTGTTCATCAGACATAGGAGATCGGAGAATTCTCTGTTAACTACGCAAAATCCTCCGGCAAATGTTCGGTAGCCTATGACTATTTTTTATTCAGACACGGAGCCTCTTTCAAAATATGCTCCTGTAACGTTACACCTTTCTCTTGCTACTAAAATTCTTAGTGAAAATCCTGTTTTTCTAGGAAAAGTTAAAGGCCAAGGATGGAGGTAATGCTGAATAAGGAGGCGGCGCTGACCTCTCTGTATCATATGTCCATGTATGTCAAACACTTTGAATTCACAGAATCACAACAATGCGGTCGTTCATTCTTTCGGAAATACTTCCCAAATGTGCCTTCATAGGTATTTGTCACTCTGAACGGGGGAACTCCAGTCAAGAAAGGGGTAGGTGCTAAGCCTTTTACTAAAATGGGACTTCACAATGTCTACAGCGAGGTAAACGCTTGAAGTTATAACTGTCACAGATTCGCATATTTCTTTGCACAATGATCGGGAAGGAAAAATCTGTCTAGTCTAAACGTGAATGCTTGCATACATGACATGCATACTCTAGCCCTCTCGCCACCAGTTGCGTCAAAATTACGTTGAGATAAAAACCGAAAATTTGTCAGGGTTCAATGTTGTAGAGCTCGGCACTCCGTTCAATATAAATAATATATCAAAATACCTTCGTTGTTATCGTAGAAGACAACAGTTTACCACGAGCTCTTAGCTATAACTCAGTATAAGGGACGTCCCTATTTACCATCTCTCTTTAAGACATCGACACATGAGGATCGGGGTTACCAAACTCGACAGCAGCAGAAAAACAATAAATCCGCGACATTTCATGGAATTTACGTGATCAAATCCAGCTATTTTACAATCTTTCTCGGGAAACAAATCATCCGGTCTTTCGTGGAAAACAGAGGACGTTCACCTTTTCAAAGTTTACGTGATAAACTGCATGGGCAGACAAACAATCGTTGGGTCAAGGACGTCGTCCCTTTGTGGTCTAAAAAAAACGAGGTCAAATATGACAGTCCTCTTGGTTAAGTTATACATGTGCTTATATTGACTTATCATCTTTAGGTTATCAAAGTTAATGTTTTAAATTTGACTTATTCATTTTAAGAATTACACTCTTCTCAAGTAATACTGGAGCTGAAGAATTACAGCTAGCTAAATTAAAAATGAAGCACATGGCATTGGTGGGGTGGGAGCATTTTAAAATAAGACTGTTTGGGACTCCTACCGCGGACAAACGACTTTGTCGTTGTCTTCGTAGTAGTTAGTTAGTTGCTGTAGTAGTTGTTGTTGACCTTTTGCTTAAAATTGGCCTGGGGAGTGAGACACTCATAGATAAATCATAACTTTTACAGAAATTCACAAGCTTTCATGATTACAAAGCATGGTTAAACGCATGAAGACAACGCAAATCATTCCGGTTTTTCACGGAAAGAAGCGAGTACGTAATATATAAGTTCCGCTTTTTTACTTTAATCTTCACTTGTGTCATTTTTTTTCTGCCACTTAAATACAGACGAGACCTCCATTTGACAAGAGACTGAATAATATATACACCGTGTTGTGTTCATCTAGCGGGATCCAATTTGTACCGGTGAATCAGTCACAGATACTGAATCTGGACAGCACTCCAATCATCCTAAAGCTATGGGCACCAGTTATTCTTCTGGTACCGACAAACTGAGAGATTACAGGCCCTCCAACTGTACTTTGGTTAAAAACAGTACAGAGGACGATCCGTACAGAGAAGCCAGACGTTTCATCAGTGAAGACACCAAACGCAACTGCTGTAATGTTGGAAGAGATAATTCGGTCCAACGATGGCATCTGCCGCGAGAACGGTCCAAGGTGTTCTTAAGGAAGGCTGCTATGGGGGAAAGCGGTACAACTTTCTACTACCATGATGACCTCTTGGGCTCTGAGGAATTTCCTGGTTAGCACGCTGAATCACAGTAACAGTTATTGTACTTGGTCATAACAAACAAGTCATTTCAGCATTTTTCTTTTTATTCCATTCATCGGCAGCGATAGATTTCATTATAGTCAAACGAGTTCAGTATTATTCAAAGACTTCGCTTGTGTGTGACTCTGACTTTTAATTTAATTTACTTTTAATTATTCTTAAATATTTAAAAATATGATTTACTTTATGTCAACTAAATAGACGTGCTGTCTTAAGTGATAGCCAACGCATGCACATTTAACCTGTAAAATTTAAGTGGCAAACGCGTTGGGTAATTTCTTAATAAAGGTTTTTTTAATACAAAACAAAATTCTCATAGTTCATTTCCGTTTTGCTAATAGCCGAGTGCTGTGGCTCAGCCTTTAAATAACTGATAGTATATAAAGTAAGAAAAAAAAAAACACAAATAATTCAACTTTACTGTTGCTGCGTGCTTTAATCAATCCAGACGCGAAACTGCTTTCTTTGAACCAACGTGACAAAAAACCTATAACAAAAACCTTTTTCTTTTTCAAAGTGAAGTACAAACGAAAAACGTTGCATTTAACCATGGGGCATAAATAGAAACTTAACTGTGGAATCGAGTAAATTGTTTTCAGTCAAAGTTGTCGGGACACTTTACTGACTGTATTCTAAATGCCCTCCCAATGTTAGTGAGCACGATTTGGTAAGTTAATTGTGGTAAACAACATTGGGAGGACGAGGAGACTGGCCAGAAGTAAAATACTTACTTATTTTTATCTGAGACTGTAGGTCTGTAGATGGAATCCCGATCATTTGACTATTCATAAATATTATGAAAGCTACTGAGCAGCACATGTGAGACTGTTCATTATGCCGCACAAGCTAGGTGGTACTAACTTCTGACCTACTCCGTGGATGGCGATGAAATCCTCTGATTCCTATGATATGATTGCTCAGATTGAAGGTATTGAGCAATACAATCCCGGCCGTAATGTTTTCTGCATTCACTTGCGCGTGATCGGACGGATCCGGGGACAGCGGACTCTCGTAAGAAAGTGATGGCGATGCCCGTTGCCCGAAAGGGGGGGGGGGGGGGGCCCTCTATAAGGGTCTCTACGGGGATGTTACGCCCGAAGGGGTTAACTTTTTCACTTTTCCGGGGTTTTTGAAAGGAAGGGCATTCACCCAGAGGATGTGTATGAAAGGGGGGAAAAATATTCTATTTTTTTTTTTAAAAGGCCCAAAAAGGGCAAAAAAGGCATTTTTGGGCGTTGAGGGGGGGGGGGGGGGGGGGGGTGCTCTCTATAATGGTCTCTACGAGGATGTTACGCCCGAAAGGGTTAACTTTTTCACGTTTCCTGGGTTTATGAAAGGAAAGGCATTTCACCAGATGATGTGTATGAAAGGGTGGTAAAATCTGTCATTTCGTTCTGTAAAAAGGCCCAAAAGGGCTAACAGATGCATTCTATGACTGTGAAAAAGTCGAGAAAAAGTTCTGTTTTTGTGATTTACTTGTATTTATAAGACAGTACAAAGTAAATTTATAGCACTCGAAAGGCATGCAATCAAAACAAAACTGATATGTGAAGGGGTACCATGAGTAGAAGGTATACGAAAGGGGTACCGCCCCCGCCCCCCCACCCCACCCCCCCAGGATAAAACTTTGTTAAGTACCCCCTCCGGGTCCATTGTCACGTTTAGGGGGTGTAAACTGTAAATTCTGGTACAGAATTTCAGGTGATCAGGATGGAATGCCGATATTTTTAAGCTTTAAATTGGTGACGACGATTCTTATAGTGCAACACGGCGCTGCAATATTGGAACAATGTTGTAACTATTGGAAACAATGTCGCAACAATGTTGCAATGCTGTGTTGCGCTAAAAATCGTCGTTGCGAATCGTCTCGTTTAACATCACTTTAAGGTATTGCTTAGGGCTGAACTTCAAGGAATAAAGGAAGAAGAAGAAAGAAAGGAAAAAGAAGACAAAGAAAAAGAGAAGCATTTAATGACTGATTACTGTATCGGAATTGAAATTATAGCTTTTATTTGGCTGTTTGTTTAGAATGACATCTTTTAGGCTTCAAATGAAGCTTCAGCCAATCCCATATCTCCATTTGGTTTTATAGGGTTTAGTTCCGAGCATTTAATTTTCACCCCCCATGAATCCCACCCAGAATGTGAATGATCATCTGAGTGACCTATATCTTAAATGTTTTCGTAACCTTCCCCTCATTAAGAAATTAAACAGTGAAGTTTAAAAAAAAAAAAAGTCTAACTAGTCTATGATTACAACCAGTCTGAAAGCTTTCGCGGAAAATCAAATTTCCGAGTCTTCTGGGAAAGTTACGAATTCCGGTCTTGGAAATCGAGTAATTTAAGTATCTTGACCGTAATTGGTGTATAAAATCAGACATTTCGTCGGTTTGAAGCGCAGCAGAACGGCTCTCTAAACCATCACAAGGCGTTCTTTCTAAAAGGGAGGTTTGCAGGGGCTTGACGCTCTTAGCAAGAGAACAAGATCCAGGTAGGCTTTTATAAGCTCTTGTTATCTAGGGATCTTGTCAACTACGGCATTCCGTCGTCGTTGTCACGTTGTGGTTGAGCTGCCCTCGTTTAAGTAAGGTTACCACGCACAACGCGCTACGAAATCGACATTCGCAGACCCTGACAGAAGCTCCGGTCACTATCCTTTCTCTCATTTCTATAATTCGGTTTAACCTTGACCACACATTTTCCAGCATAAGATTGATATATGTAGTCTGTTTAGGGAGAACAGAAGTACAATGTTTTATCAACTGAAGATATGATTAGTCAGTTCTTCAGTTGATAAAACATTTTACTTCTGGTATTCTTATCTAGTCTTTCTATTGAGCACTTTGAGAGCAGTTCTGCATCAATTGGAGAGAAATAAAGTACGTGCTTGAAGATGTATATTTAGCTAAAATATTGTTTCAGTTTTTAATAATACCTACGCATCTTTGAGTACAAGCCCTGCTAGTGTGGTTGAGCAATTACTTTATGTGTATTTTGAAGGTCGTTAAAACTCGACGTTCGATCACCATGTCTGAAGAAGAGGCTATGGGTCATGGGTATGATACCCGAAAAAGTCATGAACCCACTAACTGCGACAACGAAGGAAAGATTCCTCCGTCAGAAGCCCCATACAAAAAAGCCAGGGAATTCATCAGCAAGGATAAGGAACGCAGATGCTGTAATATTAGTAAAAGAGATAAATCTGTCCAAAAATGGCAACTGCCACATGATAAGCAGAAGGTGCTTATAAGGAAGGTTGCAGATAGCGGTACGACTCTCTATTACAACGACGACCTTCTGGGGTCCGACGATTTTCCTCCCTAGCGTAATGAACATTCCGCGAGAAGCAATGAAGTTAAAGAAACGGATGTATGAGTTATCTCGTGGATCTCGCTTACCTGTGACTTTTTCGACAGACTTCTTTTTGTCAACTTTGTTATTAATTAACTTAAGTCTTTTGTAAGCATAGCCTAGACAGCAATGTTTCCTATTCGCATTAAGCTTTACCGTTGCATAGTCTGTAACAAGATGTGTTTTACAGGAAAAGGAGCGTAGCTAGATTTTCAAGATCTTGTCGACTTTTAACCTGCGTGACAGACGATTGAAAGAAAAGGGAAAGAGGGGAATAACGTGCGCGAAAACGCGATCGGCACCCGAGGAAAGAGAAAGCGCGCACTTTTTTTGTGCTCTCGCGCGCGAGCTTTCACACTCCCCTTCTTTTTTTCCTTTCAACGGCTGCCTTACAAGCTAGTTGAATTCTGTATTAAGATATTCAATGATAGTTTTCAGTTTAAGTTACTGCTCCCTGCACAAGGATATCAAAATTCTCTGGCTAAGAATCTTGAGGCAATAAAAGTTAACTAATGTTTCTGTATATATTCAGTTCCTATGCATTGCACCGTTAGATTGTTTGAGCAGAACAAAATATGTTTCTCCATAACATTTCACTACAATTTGTCTAGTGAAATGTCGGCGAATCCACTGGCTATTAAGACTCTAACACGGTTGGCCAACTCAATCAATATAATCAGCCCGAAGCCTTCACAGAGATACATGTTAGTTTCTGACAATGGAACATTTTAAAATGTGACTAAAGCAGTAAATAANTACGACTCTCTATTACAACGACGACCTTCTGGGGTCCGACGATTTTCCTCCCTAGCGTAATGAACATTCCGCGAGAAGCAATGAAGTTAAAGAAACGGATGTATGAGTTATCTCGTGGATCTCGCTTACCTGTGACTTTTTTGACAGACTTCTTTTTGTCAACTTTGTTATTAATCAACTTAAGTCTTTTGTAAGCATAGCCTAGACAGCAATGTTTCCTATTCGCATTAAGCTTTAGCGTTTCATAGTCTGTAACAAGATGTGTTTTACAGGAAAAGGAGCGTAGCTAGATTTTCAAGATCTCGTCGACTTTTAACCTGCGTGACAGACGATTGAAAGAAAAGGGAAAGAGGGGAATAAAGTGCGCGAAAACGCGATCGGCACGCGAGGAAAGAGAAAGCGCGCACTTTTTTTGTGCTCTCGCGCGCGAGCTTTCACACTCCTCTTCTTTTTTTTTCTTTCAACGGCTGCCTTACAAGCTAGTTGAATTCTGTATTAAGATATTCAATGATAGTTTTCAGTTTAAGTTACTGCTCCCTGCACAAGGATATCAAAATTCTCTGGCTAAGAATCTTAAGGCAATAAAAGTTAACTAATGTTTCTGTATATATTCAGTTCCTATGCATTGCACCGTTAGATTGTTTGAGCAGAACAAAATATGTTTCTTCATAACATTTCACTACAATTTGTCTAGTGAAATGTCGGCGAATCCAGTGGCTATTAAGACTCTAACACGGTTGGCCAACTCAATCAATATAATCAGCCCGAAGCCTTCACAGAGATACATGTTAGTTTCTGACAATGGAACATTTTAAAATGTGACTAAAGCAGTAAATAAGAAGCAACAAAAAAAGAGAGGAATTCAAAGCAGAAAAAGAGAGCTCACTTCCTAATAAACTGCCAAAACATTTTCCTTACACCATAATCGGCAAGGGTAACGCCGCCGTCTTTCAAAATATGAGGGCACCGGCAAAATTGGACCCTTTCCCGCATCATGCGATCAAGCAATTTTGTTTTGAGCAAGTCACGCTA